TTAACCTAAACCTAACCTAAACCTTGAAATCTCGGAAGCATGATCATCCTGCCTCGAGATAACATAAGTTTCATTCGAAACATTTTCCTTCATAGCGAACATAGTTTAAGAGACAATTGCGTGGCTAGCTTCACATGGGACACCCTGTATGTAGAATACTTGTCTATTTTAGAGAACATTCAATCTCCCTTATATATACGGGGATATTCTTAATCTTAGGATCCGAGGAGAGCTGCGAAAGTCAATCTCTCAGTTGCCTGCAATATTTCTCGTCGCGCGATACTTCACCTTCCTAAATATTCCTTTTAAACTCAGGATTCGAGAATAAATACTTTATTAAAGTCTAACGTTATAACATCTTCGACGTGCGTTCCTCCTTGCGACCGTCATCTGTGAAAGAGGCGAAAGATATGTTTTTAAAGAAAGATGGAAGATATAAGTTTAGCATACTTGAAACTTGACTACTTTGCCGGGCGACGGAGAAATAAAACGTAGTTACACACTGTGCTGTTGCACGTGCTTCTCCCTTCGATATATATTTTCGGAAATTAGATATTAAAGTTGCCCCTTCATTGGCCAACGTGTACACGATGTCTCGTGAACAGAAATGTCGAAATTTTACGGCAGCTCATAGAGAGGATCGATAAAGATTAGAAAAACATTTTAGAAGAAATTCTTCTAACAGAAAAGATTTTAATTTTCCAGGTTTCACTTATCCAGGAATTTATTCGAGTCAACTCGAGAGAGTAACTGACGAAATTTGATTGACGAAATTAAAATTCCAATTTTATTTGTAATTTGTGTTTGAATATACATAGTTTTCATAAACAAACATTCAAGAAAATGTATTAACATTCACTTGGGGAAACCATTTTATCAAATAAATGATAAAAACACGGTTTTTTAAATATATTGTTAAAAACAAGTGATTTTTTCGCCAAATTGCACAAAAAGTGTATCTTCAATAATTTGACGAAATACGTTCCGGGTTTTCAACATTTTTACTTGTGAAAAATTCGCCTTTCGTTTGCATAAAAAAAAAAAGAGAAAAAAACGAAAGTTGAGTTTTTAATCAACTCAATAGATAATAACGGATGATAATATGTACAATAAAGAAATAGACGACAACACCAGTAAATAAATGTGAATAAGTAAATAAATATCTAAAGGACTTTCTTTTCTTTTTTCATTGTCAGTTTAAAAAAAAGTTCTTTCTCTTAATTTATCAGTCATGTTAACCCTTTGCGCGGACCATAACGAGTGACCAAATCGTATACAATAATTCGTCGTTTTCTTTTTGAATTCGTCGGTAGATGATATCGCTGGATAGAAATTATTACTAAGAAGCGATAAATTTATTATTTTGCCTGAGTTATATTTGAATATACTTGAAACTGAGAAAATATTGCAATTTTGGCAATTATTGCAAAAAACTCTCGACGTGCGTGGCACTTTGTTCCAACGTAAGAGGTTAACTCTTTGCGTTGGCAACTG